AGGCGGCGCCGTCGGCGGCGGAGGTCGCGTGCGGCGGCCGCGGGGCGTGGCGAGGCTGCACGGCGCGCCGCCGCTGGCCACCGCGCACAGCGTCAGGCAGGCAAGCGACGCATGGGGGAGCGGCGGCGGCTGTGGCGGCGCGGCGAGCGGCGGCGGGAGCACGGAGCGGCGGCGGCGCAGCGGCGGTCGACGCCGCCGACGACGACCGCCGCCCCCCGCACCCGCCCTCGCCCTGCCGCCCATGGGGGCGGTCGTGCGGGAGATCGCCGCCGCCCTAGAGGAAGTGCCCAACGCCGAGTGCCGCCGACAGGCCGCCATCGTGCTCGAGGGCATGCAGAACTTCACCCTCTGGGCGTTACGAAGTAAGTAGCGAGAACGCATAGGCCCCGGATTCGGGGTGTCCAAAGTGTGCAAACGTTCGCTAAAAAGTGGCAGTTTTTGAGTTTACGTAGGATGTGAAACGAAGACCGAATGTGTGCGACTGTGATGTGAAGTGTTCGGATCGATATTTCAACGTTCGTAAATTGTTCGAAATTGTTCAGGAAAAAAATATGAAACGGTAAAATAAGAACATACTATTTAATGTTGAGACTTAGAGAATTTTGAAGACTAAATAAAATTATTCGATATTTTAAAAATTAATGAAAATTTGAAAGATGCGATTTCACGCGTCGGTGTCACCTTACGGAAAAGTTGATTAGCATGAATATTTAGAGAAACGAAATTTTAGAAAATAAAAAGGACATCTGCCGTACCATGTATGGCTTTTACTAGCTGAACATTTGTAAGATATCCCTGTGGAACACCCAAAAATTTATTTTGGAATCGTTATCTTCAAATTTCGTATTAAGCATCACGTTTACTCTTGTACGTAGTCGTATATTCAGTGTTCCATCATTAAATCATTCCCATGACCGTGGCGTGAAATTGGAAGAGCAGTGGTGAATTACGAGCGAGGTGCGGGGCCAGCGGCGGTCGCCAGGGCGGTGCGTTGCTCGCAGGGAGCCGCTGGCGCGGCGGCCGCCAGAAGTATGCTGAAGGCGCACATTCCCACGCGCGGAAGACACGCATCGCACCCCAACAACAGGGTCAGTTTAACTTCGTTCAAGGCATCGCGAGCGCTACGGCACATTCTCAGATCCTCTTCTGGCATCGTCGCAGATCCATTAATGATCGATGTTTAACAGTGTTGGGCGTAACTTCTATATTCCCTTCGCATGTTGTGTGCAAGTGATTGGAAAATTCACTTCTGTTTTCTAACCGATCAGTAGAGCAAGTTAGAAATTATATTTTTATATTTATGTTCCATCGATTTAACACGACGACTTGGTGCAAAATAACAGAGAAATGAAAAGCTTTTCTTAACGGCCGGCGTCCGTTAAGCATTTAAGAGTTTGCCGTCCGTTAAGAACAATTCAAACAAATGCTCGTAGCAAAATATGATATATGAGTACACTTATTCCCAGAAAATGTATTAATTTTTTTACATAATTTTTTTCTTGAAACAAGATGGTATTACGAAAAATATTGAACGACACGCAGCTGATAACACAAATAAAAGACATTGTGAGGAATACACCTCGGCTATCGCCTCGGTTGGTAAATTTAGTTAATCGCTTCTTATTTACTGCTTATCGCACTAACGATGTTAGTAACTATAACAACTGTTTATTTCACTATTTACTTAAAAGAGTATTGATAATTTTAAGTGAAATTTTAGTTGCGATATTTTTTGTTCCAGAACGAGTTAAATAATGAGAATCTAACAAAAAATATTCGTAAAACATTATAATATCGAAAATAAATTTTACGAAGTTAGTTTAATGTGTTAATCATTCAGTTGTCAGAAACAATGCTTTAGATTATCATGAACGGTTCTTTTATTTCCAAAATATCTTCGATAAATATGAACGTAATTTTAAAAAATGTGACTAAGTGCAATCTACATATTTCAGACTAATTTCGACGCAATTTAATGACACATCTATTTGTCAAAGCGTATTCATTGACTTACAATGTCTTAAGTTGTTGCATTTTCTCCTAAAAACTTTTTCTTATAAACATATATTGTTTCACTTCGTGATTATTTACAGTGACACTAAATTCGTCTTAGAAAATATTTGCATTTCACAGCAAATTCTTTTGGGGAAAACCCCGGCCCGTCTCTCGATTTCAGTCACACACTTCAAAAGCAATGATACCTGGTGGTGTTTGAGTAACAACTTAGCTTACTGAAACAAATTGTTTACACGAAATTATTTGCATTCAATAAAATTGAACATTAGATCAAATATTTGTAGCTACATATGTTCATTGCTTCTTAGGGGTAGTGCTTAAGTGACATAACCACAACAGTTTATGAAATGCTAATAATAAACTGTATTCAAAACGTTTCACTATATCCCGTAAAAATTCTGCACTGTTATAACGGGCGTAATAGTGATGCGTGTTTCCTTGTCGATTTCGGCGCACAATGATCGTGTTTACCGCATGATATTTGATTTGAAAATATGCCACTGCGTCAGTATCACGCTAAATAACATCTATTTCACACCTGAGTCCAGTGATAGACTTTTGCATGAAAAGGATTTGACAAAAGATCCTCACAAAAATATTTCGCAAAATGTCTTAGAATTTGCCTGTCAAAAATTAAAGAACCACTTTTATCGTCGCAGCGAAAAACATTTTTATTTGAACAACATTAAGAAAGCTGTCCGACGAATCTTCCAATAATCAATATTTGCCTCAAAAACCATTAAATCTATTGTTAATGAATCAACTGTGGAATCAGTAAAAAAATCTCTTCTGACGTTGTACACGTGTGAGTGTCAAAGACATGTCAGGAGCCAAGATTTTTGGGAGGGGGCTTCTACCACTCTCACTCTTCCGTTGTCGACAATCACGCTCAAACGCACTGGGCAGAAACTTGAATTGAATTGTTGCATTATTTTACGTGGCGAGACTCAAGCCATCAGGCAACCCGCTCTTCCGTCTGACCACGCAAATTTCGCTACGCTCCTTTCACTAACTAGCGAAGAAAGGCAGTATTTCTTGGGCGAGAAACAGGTGATTTGAATTTAGCTCAGAGCGTCATTTAGGCTTGAGGATATTTTACATGCAAGTAAATCTACTAACATGGGACAGCCGGCTTTACTTCCCCTCCGAAGGAAGGAGTACGAAGGATTTTTTCACCCACGGCTTCGATCGGGTTTGAACCTGCCAACTTGGGTATAACAGTCCGATATGCTAACCGTTACACCATCGCCGCCGCAAACGCAATGGAAACTTCTCCCTAAGGCTAAAACAAAGAGCGGTGTTTCCGACTTCTTACAAATTAATAAAACAGATTTACTTCCCGATCGACTTGTGTCCTTTGGGTTTTTTCAAAAGATGCATACTCTTATAGTGGATATTTCTTATTCCTCAGGCGAATGTAGTTTTCTAAGTGTTTTTCCAAAATTAGCTAATTTCATTTGATAATTTAGGTTTGCGAGTAAAGAGAGGAACTTTTTGGTGCAAGGAAAACGTGATTTTATAATTTATGGTGGGCGGAAAAGGTCTTTGGGAAATCTGGGTTTAATGCGAGAAGGATGATTTGAGCTTTGTCCCGGTTTGAAGATGGAAGTGCTGGGCCAATCGGAAAAAGATAATAAAAAACCTTCAGATGCTTGTAAAAGGTCTTCAAAAAATTAAACAAATATTTTATCTTTTAATATACAATTTATATGTATGTACGTAATTTTGAATGTTTGAATCCATCTTTCGGATGAAATAGAGCAATGTCCAGCAATTAACCATAACGATATACGGAGTTGTTCCATTGCCAGGACAAAACGAGTACGCTTCTGTTCGCCGCAAAAGATCTGATATCTCTAATTCCTTCTAAATGTTCCATTTTGCACGTAGGTTTATTCCAAAGTGCCGCATTATATCCAAATCATTTTCTGCAACGTTATCACATACGTTTGGGAAAACTATCCGAGTTCGCTATCAGTTCATTGCTCAGAATGGCATTTTTTAATAGATTTAATAGCAACATCAGTAGCAATAAGACACTTCCAGGATAGAACCTGAGATAAAAAAAGAAATTTTGGTTGTTTTGTCCGCCGCCCAAAGTGAACAAAAAATTGCAAGAACTTGGTGCTGTTTCAATTCTGATCTTCGGTCAATATGGAGCTTTGCCTCAATAAACCTCGCAGCATTTTCCGGCATCGTTAGTTAGAATTGGTTGAACAGTGTTGCATTTGTGACAATAACATCCCATTGCCATTCCCATCTCGTTGAGATTAAAAATTCATTTGGATACAAAAGTACGTAAAGCATCGTATTTATAAGCCCTGACACAAATTGGTACCGGGTACTGGGAAAGTTGTGGTGTCCATCACTTCAAAGCAATCGTATTATTCTTTCGGCAACAGTCCATATATCATATTTCTGGACCATCCAAACGTGTTAGAAAAATGAACGGATTATTACAATGACCTCCGTTAGAGACAAAAGCTTATTTTTCGCTTTCGTAGAAATACACAATTTTATGTGAATTACATTAATAGTATTTCAGCAGAATTACATTAGAAACAGAAAAAGGCCAAAGAATTACGTTCTCTGATTTGTCTTAAATACCAGATATGAAAACCAAGAATCTAACGGAATGCACTTAAAGGCAGGCTTGAAGAAATAATGAAGATTCTAGAAAGGCGATTCACCATCATGCATTGTGATATGAAAGAACTGAAATGATAAAAACGTATACGATAATGATTACTCGTTTATTAATATGTAATGATTTCGTTCCATTTCTATTTTATTTCTTCCAGATTATTTTCCATTAATGACGTTTCGAGTATAAGACTCCTTTGTGTGTTTATGAAAATAACATTTAAAGAATTGTTTCTAAAGGTCTACTTTGTGTGTGAATAATTGGAAATTTGACAAATATTACATAGCCATATCCAATCTTGTATTCATACGGGATATAAATACTTTCAGAGGATTGCGTAAGTTGTATGCGTACATTGAACCTATTTATTAGACTTTCGCATCAAAAAATAATCGATCTTTTACGCAGAGAACGCGTAGCACAAATGTGAGCAGAAAGTAGTAAAACAATATAAAGATTTACACAAAGATTTTTCTGTAAGTTCAAATGTCGGTCATTGACTGGATGCCCTAGAATGTTGAGTGAGAGTTAGCATGATGAAATAACTTTCATGGAAAAAACATTTTTGTTGAATATTTTAGTAGGTTCACATTTAAGATCTTGTTTAGAAATACATTAAAGTATCAGGATATTAGTGATAATTTTTATTTATGTATCTTTTTTAATTCCAATAAAAAACAAATAGTGTAAATTTATTTATTT